AGAATTCTATACGAGTTTCAGTTATATTTCATTATTCTTGTTATAAAAGCTAATCCGATATCAAAATATGTTTTAAACCTTTTTTAAGATAAAAACTGTCGACTATTGTGTGAATTGGTATAAAGTCTTATTGCCTCACATTTGGACTCAACTATAGCTCTATTTATCGATGGGTTGACTGCACTTCAAAAGGAAAGTCATTATTCTTTGCGATAGAAGATAGAGTCCACGTTTGGTCTCACATCTAGTCTTATCTTATTTTCACGTCAAGAATCAAAAGTGGAAAGAAAGTCACAAAAAGTCATGCAATTGAATGACATTTATCGATGATTTAGAAAACTAGTCATATATTCGCGACACAACTCGAGTCTTAAAATTTGTAGTTTTCATCAAAATTTGTAGTTTTCATCGAAATTGTTGTTCATTTCAAATATTTATGGTTTTATCTCAAAAGTGAGTTCAACACATATATTATAGACATCTAATTCAATCTTAAGGCATTTTTACCACAGATAAGCCTTATATAGTATATTGATATTTGTTCAAATTTAAAGATTTGTAAATATAATCAAATAATGGTTATAACATGTTTAGGTGTTTCCTTTACCCCGAGCATCGTATAACAAACTCATACCCTGTTGTGCTCTCATTTGCATAATCTATAATTTATGTGACCTATTCTTAACATGGCAAACACTATCTAGATATTACTTATTAATTCACAAATTGTTTAAATATTTTTATAGTCTTAACATGTAAATAAAAGTATTGTAAATTGTAAATTTATGTCATGTTTAAAAACTTTCTAAATCTGTCATTTCAATGTCCAAACTAATAATATTGACCATGGTAAACAATCACAAAAAGTGGTGTACACCTGTTATTAGCCTATGATTATAGAGACATGGCTATTTTCGCATTGAATTCCGTACACAAACTAATACAGAATATGTGTCCACTCTATGACACTATTCTTACAATTCATATGAATTTGTTTTCAAAAATTGCATCAATTTGTGAGCAATGCCTCAAAGCGTGCACTGATTGGTGGTCACAGTTAGGCCACACCTCCACACAAACAGCGGTCAGTGTTTCAAACAAATGAACTCTAATT